TGGTATGTTGGTAAGATTCAGCTACTTTGTGAAAAATGTAAATCCTTCATTCTCATTGCTGTACAATGTTTCATTGTGAATGTGCCACAATTTATTTAAACATTCTACTGTTGCTGGTACCCAGCTGAGAGACCAGGGTGGCACTACAGCTCAGAAAGCAGGACGGGTATTTGAGTGGTTTCCAGTTTTAGACTACATTGAATGGTGATGCTTTGAGGATTCCAGTGCATGTCCTTTGGTGAAAATGTGTGTATTGGGTACACACCTAAGAGTGGTGTCACTGAACAGTCTTATTTCGTGTTTCAAAATGACACTTGGAACATTTTCAAAATATAGTGTCTAAAGAAAAAAAATTACTACTCAACCCTCCCCTACTTCCTGAAGTAGCCAAATTTATACTTATGTTTTCTGTGCTTAGATAAAGATAAATACACAATTATAGAAATTTTTTCCCTGCAAAAAATAGGATCATACTTTTTGCTGAAAATATATGTTAAGACAATTTCTCAAGGTATGAATTGAGCCTCTTTTTAAAGAATTGTATAATATTTTAGTGTAGATTTTTAATAAATTGTTCATTCACATGTTGCTGAATATTTATGGAATTTAGTATCTCAAAAGTTATTTCAATACTTTCAGGATTTCATGGCGGTCTTCATTACTCAGAGCTACTCCAGGCAGAACGTTAGAACGGAAAACAAACTCAAGGGGAATTAGAAATAAGAAAGGATCCAGGATTTAAAATTGGGCTTGTAATGTGTCTGAGACTGAGAAAGAGGAGATAGAACCGGCTCAAAATTTGAGGGAGCGGCTAGGCAGGGTGGCTTATGCCTGTAATCCTAGGACTTTGGGAGTGGAAGCAGGAGGATTACTTGAGCCCAGGAGTTTGAAACCGACCTGGGCAACAAAGTGAGACCCCTATCTCTACAAAAAAAAAAAAAAAAAAAAAAAAAAAATTACAAAATCTCCCTGGACATGATAGCGCGCATCTGTAGTCCCAACTACTGGGGAGGCTGAGGCAGGCGGATCGATTGAGCCCGGGAGGTCGAGGTTGCAGTGAGCCTCGCTGCACTGCGCTCTAGCGCGCAGTTTCAAGAAGCCTCACTGCGCTCCACTCCCCGTTTCAAGAAAAGAAAAAAAAATGTAAAATTTGAGGAAGCATTAAAAGAGCATGAAGGAAGGAAAAACTTATAGCACAGGAAGTTTGTACTTTGATTCGTTTTCTGCGTTCGCCTGCTGTTTGGTTGAGGAATGATCTTAACGATTTTCTTCTTACCCCATTTCATCCATCCATTCATCCAGTGGACATTACAGAGCATCTGTTTGTAACCTGGGTGAAGTAGGGAATAGAAAGAATAAAACACAGTTCTTAACCTATGCTTCCTCTAGTTGGGGCAATTGAAATGAAACCCTTAGGTTATACGGGATGTCGCACCCCGTCCCTTCACCACTGAAGCCACTTTCCCCTGGAAGGTTAACTGTGGACACTACACTTTCGTAGTAGGGGAGAAAGTTTTGTGATGGCCTTTTCTTGAGAACAGTTTGGTTCCGTGACAACCCTTCCTTAGGTATCCAACAAATAGGGGCCAGGGCAGTGAGGGGTGAGGAAGCTAGAGACGGACAAGGGCCACGCAAATCTCCCTGGGGCCCTGGGGACCAGCGACAAAAAGGGATGAGTGGTTCAAGTTTTACAGTTGAACTCAGCAGGTTAGATGAGCAGATGTGAGTGCAGGACCTGGTCAGGCATAAAGCCAGCTCCTGGCTCCATGGTCAAGTGTCGCATGCTACTCAAATAACATGGATCCGAACTAGGAACAAAGCTGAAGAAACCTTTCCACAGGGAGAAATATTTGTAGAGAAGCCGCTCCCAGCTGCTTGAGCAAGGATATTTTATGTAGTTTTTTGTTGATTAAATTTATTTTTATTACAAAATAATATGTGTGACTATTGAAACGTTAATGAGGTATATTAAGGAAAAAAATAAGTAATCCACTTTCCTGTCTGAAGTAACTGATTCTAATAGTTTATCTTCCGTATGATTTCTGTGTTTATATGAGTATATATGAACAGTTTTAAAGATTTTGTACAAAAATGGAAATTTTTTACTATGTTAAATGTTTATTTTAAAAATAATATATAAACATATAGGCAATATATAAAATAGATTCATATACGTAGATTTAACCCATCCTTGAAAACAGTTATATATTATTTTATATAGAGATCATCGTTATTTATCCATCGGTCCCTTGTTTATAAATAGTGTCAACGATGTGCTTTGAAACGAATCGTCCTGCTGCATTCGCAGGGCAGGCGCCTGGGCCTCTATCCTGGATCTGGGGCCGCATCTTGGGGTAGAAACTGACACAAAGCGGGGCCTCTGCGGTGGGGGCAGCGGCCAAGCTCCACCCCCACCCGCGGCAGCCAATCAGCTCCCGCGGACGCCCCCACCCCCACCGTCTGCACTGCAGCCCACCTCCCCCAACGAGCCTTCTCCCAGTCACCCCACTACCAATTTGCAAATCCCCACGCCATCTGCCCCAGCGCCTTCCTACGTCTCTGTGGAAGACTCCCAACTCCGAAGTAGCCCGGTGTGGAAATTGCTGGACAGAAGGGTGAGTCTCGTCCAAAGATGGTTTCTGGGGCCAGAGCAGGCCCCGCCGCACTGACCAATTCAAGGGCGGTTCCCGATGCAGGCCCATGAGGCGCGGGTGGTAGAAGGAGGCACTGAGTCTGGGTCGGGGTCCCTGGGGAGCATGGCCAAGGGGGCTCATGATGGCCTGCCAAAGTGGTCGCGTTTTTGGCCTGAGTCCCCATGGGTTTTGGGTCTAGAGAGGAAGATGTCTTTCAAAGAGGGTTTCCTGTGCCTTCTCCATTGCTGTTTCTGTTTCAGCTTCTACCAGTCTCATTTCTTTCATGCTGCATTTCTTCTCCAGGAACCTAACCAGCAAATCTGCCCCTTATAAACGTATTTTATTGTGAAATGTATTTCAAAGCTACGCACAGAAGATCATATGACAGATTTATTGTATGCCGACATTTTATCACCTTCGCTTCAGGGCCCCCTCTCTTCCTCCACCCCCCCCCCTTCTTTCTAAGAAATAAAAGAGTTAAAATCCCTTCCCCCACCGAGTCGAAGGCCCTCGTCGTCAGAGGTAAGTTAGCTTGCATTCCTTCCCTTGTATATTTTGCCCTTTATTTTTAATACTTATTTTTACATAACCAACATATGCGTTTTTGTTCTGAATTTAAAATTGTTGTACCAGATTCAGTATTATGAGGTTTTAACTTGCGGTGCTGTTAGTCCTGACATTGCAGACCCCGAAGGGACTTAGTGAGTGCCGGCCACCAGCCTGCCTCATTTAGCTGAGAAATGAGAACACTGGAGAAAATAAAAGATGTGCTCACTGTCTCTCAGGTGGCCCTTTACTTGGCAGGATCCTGAATTCAGGTTCTCTTGATTTCTGTCCCTGCCATTTACTTTTCCTAAAACCTGGTGCTGAGCTCACCTACCTACGTGGCCGTGTGACGTGTTCGCAATGATTCAGTTTGGAGAAAGGGAGTTGAAGGGAAATGGGGAAAGGGAGTATGACTTGCGTCTGGACTCAAACCCTAGTCAGGATTAAAAGTTATACATTTTCCTGAAACATGAAATATTGAATCTCAGGATGATTTGAATATTTATCAGGCGTGCATCCAGTCTTACCGTATACTAGACATTGATTTAAGAACTTTACAAGTGGCCGGGCACGGCGGCTCACGCCTGTAATCCCAGTACTATGGGAGACCGAGGCAGGCGGATCACGAGATCGGGAAATTGAGACCATTCTGGCTACACAGTGACACCCTGTTTCTACTAAAAATACAAAAAATTAGCCGGGCGTGGTGGCACGCGCCAGTAGTCCCAACTACCTGGGAGGCTGAGGCAGGAGAATCGCTTGAACCCGGGAGTAGGAGGTTGCGGTGAGCCAAGATCGCGCCACTGCACTCCAGCCTGGCAACAGAGCAAGACTCCATCAAAAAAAAAAAAAAAAAAAAAAAGAACAAAAGAACTTTACAAGCATGAAATCACCTAATTTAAGCCTTATAATAAATCCGTAGTGTAGGTATTAATTTTCTCATCCCCATTGTATAGGTAGGTCACTTGCCCAAAGTCACACCGTTGGTAAAGTGCAGCACTGGGATTTGAATCCAGCCCACCTAGCCTGGGTCCCTGACACCAGCTGCATTGCCCATCCTGGAGCCAGCACCTGTGAGAAAGGTGAAACGGCTATACACACACAAGAGAGGAAGCAGCTCTCCGCTGATACAAGAAAGGAAAGAAATCGGGAGCAGGCACGATGGCTCCCGCCTGTAATCCCAACACTTTCAGAGGTCGAGGCGGGCGGATCACTTGACGTTAGAAGTTTGAAACCCACCTGGCCAACATGGTGAAACTCAGTCAATACAAAAATACTAAAAATTAGCCAGGCATGATCACGGGCGCCTGTAATCCTAGCTATTTGGGAGGCTGAGGCAGGAGAATCGCTTCAACTCAGGAGGCAGAGGTTGCTGAGAGCCGAGATGGTGCCATTGCACTTCAGCCTGGGTGGCAGAGCAAGACTCCGTCTCAAAAAAAAAAAAAAAAAAAAAAAAAAAATGAAAAGAAATGCTATTTGAACTGTACAGAGAAGAATATATTTTAGCTAACTATTGTTTGAAATACACGCACGCGCGCACACACACATGCACATTTTGAGACGGAGTTCCGCTCTGGTTGCCTGGGCTGGAGTGCAGCGTTGCGTGATCTCGGCTCACCACGACCTCCGTCTCCCGGGTTCAAGCGATTCTCCTGCCTCAGCCTCCTGAGTAGCTGAGATTACAGCCACATGCCACCACACCCGGCTAATTTTTGTATTTTTAATAGCAACGGGGTTTCTCCATGTTGGTCAGGCTGCTCTCAAACCCCGGAACTCAGGTGATCCGCGCAACTTAGCCTCCCAAAGTGCTAGGATTACAGGTGTGAGCCACTGCGCCAGGCCTAGATGGTATATTATTTTTAATTTACGAAAGTAACACATGTAACTGCAAACAATGCAGAGTTATATAAAAAGTTACACCTCTCCTGTTTCTCAAGTTAAACGATATTAACGGGTAGAGATGTAGCCTTCCCTTCTTCCCACCGTAATACAAACAAGTTTCGTTTTTCCTATTAAAAAAAGCATATTCAACAATTTCTACAATTCGCATTTTTCCCGTGGCAATATATCACGGTATATTCCCCAACTAAGCAGAGATTCAAGCTCTTCCTAAGAACTGAATAATAGCAGAATGTATGTCCCACCGTTTGCTCAGTCTTTCCCTTACTAATGTAGAGTCAGAGTTTATGTCTTTAATGAAACGGCCGTCCACACTGCCAGGATGGGGTCGCCAGGCTTCCCTAAGCCACAGCAATGCCCAGCCGCCAGGGCAGGCGACACAAAGAAGCGCAGTCCCCTGCCAAGCGCCGCCCCCTCGAGCTCCCACTCCAGCCTGGGAGGAAGTGGGGAGGAGGGGACTCCCATGGAAACCCCTCCTCTCCTGCTCACGTCTCCTCCCTGCTCCCAAATCCCAGCTCTGTTGCTTGGTCACTGCGGTTCAGGGAAGCCCCTTCCCAGTGCGTGCCTCTCTGCGCCTGGCCCTGCCCGCTCCCACCTGCCCCCGTGGAAATCGCAGGGAGACCTGGTGAGTGGCCCTCTCCAAAAGTCTCGCAGGCTGGAGAAGGGGCCAGCGTTGGCGGACTTGGCCTGGGTGCTGAGGTAGGGCGATGCGGGAGGCCGGGGTGGGGTGCGGGGCGCAGTGGGCGTGCTGTGGATCTGGGTGTGCCGAAATCGGGGACAGTGAATGCCCTTTGTGTCCATGCTTCTGCTGGTGATTTTCCTCTGCGGTCGGGCCCTGCATCCCCCTGCCGCATTGCTGCTCCTCTCCAGGTTCTGACATCTGATGTTAGTGTGTGCCCGCTTTGTGTGGTTGAGTTACCTGAGGGCCTGACCTAGAGAACCGGTCTAATCCGTGGCTTTATTGAGCAGGGTGGCGGGTAGCCTGTTAGAGAGCATCACTTCTGGCCTACTGTCCTACTGCCCTTTGGTCTTTGCTAACACTGTCTTTGGGACAGAGATCTGTCTTCCACTGGCACCGGCCCCTAGATTCTGGAGTAAGCATTGGTGTGTGTATGTGTGTGTGTGCGCGCGCGCGGAGGAGCTCCCCTCGCATTCGTGTGTGTGTGCGCGCGGAGGAGCTCCCCTCGCATTCGTGTGTGTGCGCGCGCGGAGGAGCTCCCCTCGCATTCGTGTGTGTGTGCGCGCGGAGGAGCTCCCCTCGCATTCGTGTGTGTGTGCGCGCGGAGGAGCTCCCCTCGCATTCGTGTGTGTGCGTGTGTGTGTGTTTTTACGCGCGCACGGAGGAGCTCCCCTCGCATTCGTGTGTGTGTGCATGTGTTTTTACGCGCGCACGGAGGAGCTCCCCTCGCATTCATGTGTGTGTGCGTGTGTGTGCGTGTGTGTGTGTTTTTACGCGCGCACGGAGGAGCTCCCCTCGCATTCGTGTGTGTTTTTACGCGCGCGCGGAGGAGCTCCCCTCGCATTCGTGCGTGTGTGTGTGTACGAGCGCGCGGAGGAGCTCCCCTCGCATTCATGTGGGGGGGGGGTGTGTGTGTGTGTGCGCGCGCGCACGCGCGCGCGCCTGTGTGTGTGTTTACGCGCTCCGGGAGGAGCTCCCCTCCTCCCTGCCAGCCACCCGCTAGTCCCCAGTCCCCTCCTCCTCCAGACGTCACGGATGTGCTCTTTGCATACTGGCTCTGGGCCTGGGAGGAGAGAGTGGAGCCCTGCCAGACTCCAAGCTGACTGCTGACAGCCCCTGGGAATTTAGAATATCCCTTCTCACACACTGCATTTTATAGAACACTCCCTGAGGCACACAGATCAACAGCTGGCGAGGAGGCAGTATCCACATTTGAAAATATAATAATACCCAGGTCTTCTCACTCCTGGGCTAGTGCTCCTCAATCATGTCGTCCTCTTGAATGACCTAGGAGAGAAGTGAGCGAATGGGGGTGAGAAAAAGAGCCTCCGGGGAACTTGAGAATTAAGAAGGCAGTTGGGTAAGGTAGAATCTACAGAGGAATAGAAAAAGGAAAGTCTCCAATCCTGCTTACTCCTATGGGGATGACAGAGGCGCTGAACAGGGAGAATCACAGCAGGGGCTTCAAAGACGGTAGTAAAGGTCTATTTTTAAAGCTGAATGGTAGGTATATGGACGCTTGTTTAATTTTTCAGATTGTTTTATTATTTTACCATCTATATCCCTCCATGTGTTTTACATATTCTCACAGATGTATGAATTAAACAATCTACGTGAAAAATAAATAAGACTGAGCTGGGAGTGTCTATGACAGAATTCAAAAGAAGGGGTTGAACTAGCCCAATGTCTTCAAAAGATACTGGACGTATAAAGAAAAACAGAAGAGTCATGTGGGCGCCGGGGGGCGCGCAGCACCAAGGAGAGAAGACCCATAGAATTGAATGTCTGTAATACAAAACCAGTTTTCAAGGTCAGGCTAGCTATTTGCTGAAAAAAAAAATGATTCTGGGTTTACCCGTATACCTCATCTGTCATTTAATCACCCAGACATGGATTGTCTATTCATCCAAAGAATAAAATGTATACTCTGGCCTCAGATACTTACTCTAGTTTCAGGATTTGAAATCACACTACCCTATGGGGATATGGGTGGTACAGCATCCAGCATGGCCCACCATCTACCTGCCTTTCCACACATCTCTCAAAGGGAAAACCAGGTTTAGGAGCCATGGCGCTGCTTTGTGGTAGGAGTGAAAGCTCTGCTCTCTCTCTCTGAGTTACAGGTTGTGCCTGCAATACCTTCTGCTTTGGAGGTGACTTTGGTTCCAGCCAGCTAAAAGGGGCCAGAGGTGGGCCCAGAGGAAAGAAAGCAGGAACCATAGGAGGGTTAGCGAGAGAAAGAAAAGGACATTTCTCCCAGGTTTTATTCATCTGAGCTCACCAAGCCTGGAGAACAAACATGGATTCAGGCATGAAGAGGGGGCATTTGGTTCAAAAGTCAAGTGATGGAGTCACTGATAGCTGGTTAAAGTGGGGACACAACCAGCTGCAGAGTTCAAGGAATCCCCATAGAGGAGGAAATCAAATTTATATGTGGGCAGATGCAGATGCACAACCTGATCAGAGATGAAGGAAGACCTTTTAGGACCAGTGAGCTAGGATCAGTTGATCAGTCTACCTCATTGTGTATATACTGTACCTAATCTTTTAATGTGTGTTTACTTGCTTGATTGAATTTATATTAACTCAGTGTTGTTTCTCATTGTAGTAGCAATACATACAACAATTCAAATGATGCAGATTTGTATAAAGACAGAAAAAACTGTTCACGTCTTCCCTTCCTAATGTAATCAATGTGATTATGTTGAAATATGGCTGCTGTAGATTTTCAGTGCATATAAAAGCCTGGTATGTAACGGGTACTTGGATATTCTTCATGCTTAAGAGTATGGACTCAAGCACTGGGTTTCCTGGATTTGAATCCTAGACTCACCACCACTTACCACCTGTGTGACTTTGAACAAATAACTAATTCTAGTAACTAATTCTCTGGGCATTATGATTTTAGAATTCCTGTTTTGCCTGTCCATAAAATGGGGATAGTGATAGTAGATACCTCATAGGTTTATTGTCAGCATTAGTTACATAAATCACTTGTAATAATGCCAGGAACCTGGTAAGCATTGTATTGTTAGTACTACTACTAATCACTGCTGCTAGTGTCATTATCTTTGCTCGCACAAAAATGAGTTCATGTTCTACATCTCATAGTGACTTGAAATTTTCACTTAAAATGTATCTGGGACATTCTTCTAGGTGGATGTAAAATATAGTCAACTCATCCTTGAACTAGCTTAGAAAACAACTAATGAGACAGATATGTGAGTTCCGTGTTCTTGTACTTGTGTCAGCACTAGCGGCAGCAGAGGCTGAGAGAAAAGGATTCTGATGGACAGCTCTTTAGGGGGTGTGTATGGATAGATGGCTGGGGGCAGTGCTACAGGGTCTTATGCTGGGTACAATGGGGTATCTGGGAGCTATGCGGAAGTTAGATAGGTGTGGGTTTGGGTTAGAGATCCTGTACCCACAAGAGTAAAAAATGATTCTACGAAACATTCCTTGTTATTAATCTATCTATTTGTACTTCTAGGTTTTCATTTCTCTATCTCCATTTGTAATTTTGTGTGAAGTCAGCATCCTTTTACATATGTCTTTGATACTGCCCCTCTTATTTCTGTAAGAAGGGTTATTAGAAGAGGGTTTGTTGGATCTAAGAACAGGCACACTTTTGAAGCCAAGTAGGCACTGCGAAATGGTTTTTGAAAAAGAGTGCAGACATTCTCCACCCTTCCTGCAGATTGCGATGGTGTTCCCATCACCTTTCAAATATTAAACATTATTAGCCGCCTTTGTCTTCTTCATCTTCTTCCCCTTCTTCTCTTCCTCCATTTTCTCCTAGTTCTTTTTTGACAAATATGCAATATATTTTCCATTACTTAATTACTAGTGAGATTAAGCACTTTTTCACAGAAGTGGCCATTTTAAATTTTATTTTCTGTGCCATATCTTCTCTTAAAAGAATAGGATTTTCATAGATAGAAAGATTTAGGTGGGGAACGGAACATAAAGAGAATGGAAAGATAATCTAAAATGAAAGCAGGGCATGTCCAGGAACACAAGGCAGACTGGATGGTGCAGGGAGAGAGGCAGCAGGAGAAAAGGCAGGAAAACCCAGGGAGCAGCCAGCCCTGCAGGCAGTCCACACCGTGAGGCAGGGACTAAGGTGGAGCTTTGAGGGTAAATAACATGATTAGAGTGGTTTTAGAAAAGTATAGGTGGGAACAGGTCCTGGTAACATAGAAATTGGATCGGTTGAGTCCAGGCATGAATTACTAAGGACCTACACCAAGTTAATGGCAGTGTGATTGGAAACCATGAGAAGGACATTGATAGGACTTGTGACCAACTGGATATGGGTACAGCAGGCAGCCAGGACATGCTGTGACACTGTGCGTTTTGCTGTCCTGATTATTTGTGGGCGCCAAGAGGAGCAGGGAAAAGACAAGCTTCTTACTTACCAAATGTTCATGACAGTATCTTCTCAATAGTTCCCTGAGGTAGGTAGGTCATTAATTCTTGTTTAATTACTAGAAACATTGGACTTATGTAATTTGCCTTAGAAGAGCTAATTTAGAGGGGAAATAATAAATTTAAGACTTTTTAGTTTAGAGACTGGCTATAGATGGCCAGTGTGCTCTTTTAGTAGTGGTCTTGAACTTGTTATTTCAAGACTGGGACTATTTTATCCTGGCTTGTGGAAGGCACATAGCCTGTGTGAAGGACTTTCTCAAGGGCACAAAGAGATATTTGAGGGATAAAATAGCAGTTAGCATTAGTGTTAGTGTTAGTATTGGTACCAAAATATGAAAACTGTCAAATCAGAATCAGTATGTGCTCAATTTGGTGTTTGTAAAACCTACATTAGGTTAAATTGTTTTTCCACTTTGTAAGAATTATTTATTATTCATATGCTTGAATTAAATGGTTTATTCTTGACCAAATAATTATAAGCATATAAATAAATAATTGAATATTTATGAAAAGGCATTTAACCTGTTATTTTCTTTCATCCTCAGGACAAGTTTATATGGTAGATATTATTATTTCTGTTTAATTAATAAGAAAACTAAGTCTTTGAGATGTGTTATCCGAGCCTCACAGTTAGTAAGCAGCAGAGCTGAAATTCAAACTCAGACGGCCGTAACTCCAGAGCCCAAGTTTATAATCATGTTGCATATTATGTTGAGAGTGAGCATATACTATCTGACAAGGGAAAAAGACAAGTGGTAAGGGCCAAAGATTAAAATGTAAAGACAATCTGCATTTTCCAAGAGGAGGTTGGAAAAGGACAGAAAGTAAGTGGTCCCAGAGGTCGGATATAACGACGTTAACTCAGGCCACATTGACAGAGGTGGCTCAGCCTCATGGTTGGGAAGAGAGGTGATGTCCTGTGCTGCTGAGTGGTCATTGAGGATGAGACACCCTGCATGACCTGACCACGAAAACACATCTGTCCTTGGAAGAAGTGTTTCAGTACAGTGCATGTAGCGGAGGTCAGACTACAGAGCATCCTTAGTGGGGCACTCATTGTGAAGAAACAGAGGAGATCTGTGACTTTGCCTCCTCACCTTTGTCGGCTGCATCCCAGGTGCAATTAGAATTCTGCAATAATTTCATATCTTGTTACCTTCTGCTCCTGGTTATAGGAGAATTGCGTTTAAACCATAGAGAATGTCCACTTTTCTCTTACCTAGCCTATGACTTTGACCAAAGAACCTTCTCTGAGAGCCCAGGCATTTCAGATGGAAGTTCTGAGTTGTCCAAGCTGGGATTCATATGATTAGTAGGGGAGCCAAGAGGGATGGAATGGGCTAGGAGGACAACTGGCTGCACCACCATATGAATTCCCAGCAGCTGCTGTAGCAAATGACCTCAAGTGGGGTGGCTTAAAATAACAGGAAGACATCATCTCACAGTTCTGAAGGCTTAGAATTTTGAAATCCAGGTGTCAGCTGCATGGTTTTTTCTGGAGATTCTGAGACAGAATCTGTACCATGCCTCTATCTTAGCTTATGGTGTTTGCCATCAATTCTTGGTCTTCCTTGTCTTGTAGACTCATCACTCCAATCTCTTCCCCCATTTTCTGATAGCATTCTCCCTTATGTTTCCAAATGTCCTCTTACAAGGACATCACTCATTGGACTACGAGCCATTCGAATCACATATGACCTCATCTTAGCCTGATTACATCTATGAAGACCTCTTTCCAAATTGTCCTAGGGGTTAGGATTTCAAAATATCTCTTTGGGGCGACACAATTCCACACGTATTCTTTCCTTCTGTTTGTTTCCTTCTGTGATGGAAAGATATCATGCTCTTTAAGTTTGATCACTTGAGTTTAAGAGGCGAGGGCCCAGTGGGGTCTCCTGGACTGCAGACACTGACACCGAGTGCTTGAATCATTTCCCAGTGTCAGCCTCATCTGCATAGTGGGAAGAATCACCCAGCTACTGGAAGAGTGCACTGCTCTATTTGTTTCTTTGTTTATCCATTCTTCACTAAGCGGAGTCTTTGCTTTCTTCTCTGCAGAAACCAGTAGAGCCATGGCAACTCCCTCTGCTGCCTTCGAGGCCCTTATGAAAGGCGTGACAAGTTGGGATGTCCCCGAAGATGCTGTTCCGTGTGAACTGCTTCTTATTGGAGAGGCTTCATTTCCTGTGATGGTGAATGACATGGGCCAGGTCCTCATTGCCGCCTCCTCCTATGGCCGCGGCCGCCTGGTGGTTGTGTCCCATGAGGACTACTTGGTGGAAGCCCAGCTCACTCCTTTTCTCCTGAATGCAGTGGGGTGGCTTTGTTCTTCCCCTGGGGCTCCCATTGGCGTACACCCATCCCTGGCACCTTTGGCCAAAATCCTTGAGGGCTCTGGAGCAGATATAAAGGTAGAGCCAGAAGTGAAGGACTCCCTCGGGGTTTACTGTATTGATGCCTACAATGAAACCATGATGGAAAAGCTGGTCAAGTTCCTAAAACATGGTGGCGGCTTGCTGATAGGAGGACAAGCCTGGGATTGGGCCAACCAAGGTGATGATGAAAGGGTTCTGTTCACTTTCCCCGGGAACCTCGTGACCAGTGTGGCTGGCATTTACTTTACTGACAACAAAGGGGACACCAGCTTCTTCAAAGTCTCCAAGAAGATGCCCAAGATTCCAGTGTTGGTTAGGTGAGTACCTTACCCCACCGGGGAGTTGGCTCCAGGTTAAAAAGCGTACCCAGTTCTTAAATTCAGGTTGCTCCAAGGCTAACAGAAGAGTGCTCCCAGGCACTCAGGAATTCACTACAAATCAACTAGATTTTTTAAATGCCCTGAGGCACAGGAGGGGCAAGGCCCTCATTGCCCGTCTTCCCAGACCAGATCATTTAGTTCTTTGATAGTTGGAATTTACCGATGGCTATGGTCCCAATGTCTTGCTTAATCAAAAATGTGTTGTTGGGCCCAACAGTTGGCATAGTTAATCCAGACAGTTCCTAGGAGAAGGTTGCTTTCAACAGGAATGTGAAGAAAAGGAAAACGGGTCTGAAGCACCTCATGAGCCAAAGCCTAGAGGGCTGTGGGAAAGTTTTTGACATGTCCATCCAGATGAGGTTAGAATGCAACAGGAAGTAGAAGCCTTCAGAAGTTATCAGAAAGATGCTTCAAGTTATAGGCGCTAAATCTCGGATTTAGGAGTGGCAAAAGATCAGATGATTAATAATGAAGGAGTCAGGTGATGGGTGTAGGACAGCCTGCATGGAAAGTTCTTGGAGTGTACTGCCCTGCCTGCTTTGCTCTCACTGTACTCCAGTACCACTTACAGTGCCTAACAGATAGCAGATCAGTAGGTGCTAAGTAAACATTTCTTCCATGCATGACTGCATGGATGAATGAGAGGGATTCGAAGGTGGAGTAGTCCCAGGAGCAGAAAAAGTACATTAGGCCACTCTGTATTGTATATTAAAATTTTCAGCATCCTTGGAACAGCATGGCTATTTCTAACTGATGGGAATGGAGCAAGGTAGGATTGGGTGAGGAAGACACACCAAGGGTACTACGAAGGTGTGGGAATAAGCTATGACTTCTCCTGGACATGGGAATTTTAGGGAAGTTTTATGAAGATCAACCAGAATAGTCTATTCTGTTTTTGGACAAAAAGATGACTTGCATCATTTTAGTCCAAATATTGGGCTTCTGCAAAAGAGTTCAAACTCTCTGTTCATTCATCCATTTATTTAGCCAGAGTTTATTGAATATATTATATTTCTAAATGTTTGTTTTAGTATCACTCTATACTCATGGATCCTTTTCTTTTAATATCAAATGCATTATAATCCATTTATAGTCAATATTTTTTGAAGGTCAAAATGTCCCAAATTTGGCAAGTTAAAGCCTCATTAAACTGTCTCCTGAACCCATCAGTTTTTTGATTTTTGTTTTTGTTTCTTTGTATTTACTTAATTTCTGGCATAAAAAGATGTTGCAAGTTTATCTTGTACTTTTCTAGTTCAAAACCTGAAGTCAGTCATTTCCTCAAGGAATACTAGTTTCGTTTAGTCATGAATAGTATTTAGAAACCAAGATCTAAAGTGTGCTCACTGCTATGGTGTCATCATTTCTGAGCTCCTCAGAAGAGACAGCCATGATATCTTTTAATCATGTATTCATAATGATACCCCCAATTTTAATTTGAAACCACGGAATAATTCTTCTCTTTCACTCATTCCATATTTGTATTTTTCTTCTCCCACGGTGAGAATCCTAGTTCCCAACATTTACCTACTTGCTCAGTCCAGTAATACACACACAAGAGCTTCATGATTACTATACCCATACTATCACGAACAACAAACTTGCTAAGTTATTTTTGCCTTCAGAATATACCACACTGAGCATATACAATCCAACAAGTACTATATTCAGAAGTATTTGAGTTGCTTTTTTCATTTGGGCCTGTTTTTATTCTGTGTGGGATTTTCTCTATATTTGTTGATTGATTTTATGGATTTGCTGTTAGCTTGACTAAAATTGAAGAATACACATTCTGTGTGTGTGTGTGTGTGTGTGTGTGTGTGTGTGAGTGATACTTTCCTTAATTGTACTTTAGGTTTGGGGTACATGTGCAGATCATGCAGAGTTGCTGCATAGGTACATACAAGGCAATGTGGTTTGCTGCCTTTATCCCCCCATCATCTATATCTGGCATTTCTCCCCGTATGATCCCTTCCTACCCCCCACTGTCCCTCCCCTAGCCCCCTCAACTGACCCCAGGAATACACATTCTTTTATGTTCACATGAACTATTTATGAAGATAAACAATTTGAAGTGCCATAAAATAAGCCTTAGCAAGAGTAAAAGAATTGAAATCATACTGTATATATGTCTTCATCACAGTGGAATTAAATTAGAAATCAATAACATAAACATATCTTTAAAATTCCTAAATATTTGTAAATTTAAAAATATGTTTCTAAATACTCCTTAAGTCAAAGGAGAAATTATAAATGAAATTAGAAAATACTTAGAACTGAATAAAAATGAAAGCACATGTCAAAAATTGCGGAGTGCTATTAAAACAATGCTAAGAACGATATGCCTTTAAATACTTTTGTTAGGAAAGAAAAAAAGTTGAAACTCAATGACCTGTGCTTCCCTATTAAGAATCTAAAAAAGGAAATTGAATCAAACCCAAAATATGTAGAAGAAATCAGGAAATAATAGAGCAGAAATCTGTGAAACAACATTTTTTTAAAAAGTAAATCAGCAAAACCAAAAGCTGATTAGTTGACAAAAAAAAAAAAAAAAAAAACAATAAAAGTGATTAACCTCTAGATAGATTTATGACAACAGAAGAGAGAACACCAATTCTGAATTTCAGGACTAGAAGAAGGAACATTAGTACAGATCCTACAGACATTAAAAGGATAATAAGGAAATATTACAACTTTATGCCAATAAATTTGACAGATGAAATAGACAAATTTCCAGACAGACAAAAATTACCAAAATTGACACAAAAAGAAACATAAAATAAATGCTAAATAAATTGAACTGTAATTTTAAACATTCCAACACTAAATACAATGTGGTATCCTGGATTGGATCCTAAAAGACATTGGTGTGAAGACTGATGACATTTATATAGAATCTGGAATTAGTTAATAGTATTTAATTACTGTTGACTTCTTAGTTTTGACAAATGTACAATAGATATTTTACTATATTTGCAACTTTTCAATTTTCTTACATTTCAAAATAGAAGTAGTATTTAAAATAAACAATATAAAGAAAACTCCAGGCCCATACAGCTTCACTAATGAACTTTATCAAACATTCAAAGAACAAATAATGCTAATTCTACATAACCTCTTTTTAAAAATAGAAAAGAAGGGAAAATTTTCCAACTTGATTTATTAAAACAGCATTTCTCTAATACTGAAACCAGAAAAGGACATTGTAAGAAAAGAAAACTACAAAACAATATCCCTCATGAATGTAGATGTAAAAGTTTTTACTAAAATATTAATAGAATACAGAAATATATAAAAAGAATAGTATGTTATGACCAAATAAGGCTATCCTAGATGAATGACTGGTTTAACATTCAAAAATCAGCTTAACTCACCATATTAATAGAATGGATGAGAAAACCCATATAATTCAAGGCTGGGCATGGTGGCCCATGCTTGTAATCACAGCACTTTGGGAGGCCAAGGTGGGCAGACCATTTGAGGTCGGGAGTTCCAGACCAGCCTGACCACCGTAGTGAAACACTGTCTCTATTAAAATACAAAAATTAGCTGGGCATGGTGACATGTGCCTGTAGTCTCAGTTACTTAGGAGGCTGAAGCATGAGAATCACTTGAACCTGGGAGGCAGAGGTTGCAGTTAACTGAGATCTTGCCTCTGCACTCCAGCCTGGGCAACAGTGTGAGACTGTCTCAAAAAAAAAAAAAAAGAAAAAAAAAAAAGAAAATGAAAAACAATATAATTCAATAGATACACAGATAAAATATTCACAAAATTCAATACCAAATCATACCAAATTATGATAAAATTTCAGCAAATGAGAAATAAAAACGTCTTCAACCTGATAAAAATGTCTGAAAAATCTATAGTTAAAAATATTCTTAATGGTGAATACTAAACTTTTCCCTTCTAAGACTGAGAACAAGGCATGGAATAATACCTGCTCTTACCTCTTCTATTCAACATTGTGCGTGCTACAAGTCCTAGCCAGTGTAATAAGGCAAGGAAAATAAAGGATAGAGATTGGAAATTTTTTAAAAAAAGAAGACTTATTGGGTGTTTTGTTTTTCTAGAACACTGAGCCAAAAAGACAAGAACTGTTTAAATCTTGGTGTCAGAAAACAAATTTAAAAGAAAGAAAAAAAAAAAGAGTTTCACAGATTTAGAAGATTTTTAAATGACAAGATCCATTTGAAAATAAAGTCAGCAGAGCATTTCCTAGAATGGATCTGTTTTGTTTTTAGAAGCATTTGCACAAAGCATGATCATCTATGTAAAAAAAAAATTCTAAAATATCTACAGAAAAAACTACATAATAATCAATTTTAAAAAGTAGTAAGATTCAAAAATCAACTTAAAAAAACCAATTACTTTTTAAAATATACTAGCAACCAACAATTGATAGTTAAAATTTTAAAATACAACATTTAAAATAGAACCCGAATTATGAAATACTAATGGTTAAATTTTACAAAATATGTCCTGAGACCTGTATAGTGAAAACTATAAAACATCACTGAAAGAAATTAAATAAAACTGAAAGTAATGGAGAAATATACCATGTTGATGAATCAGAACACTCAATATTTTAAGATGTCTGTTTTCCCCTATTAATCTACACATTTAATGCAGTCCATAGTTCAAATTGATTCTAAAATCAATATACAAATGAAATGGAGTAACATAGCCTAATTTCAAGACTTTGTACAGAGATGAAAACACTGTGATATTGGCATAAAGATAGATATCCAGATCAATGAAACACTAGATAATTTAGAGATAGACCCATAGATTTATGGTCAATTGTTTTTTGACAACGTTGCTCAGGTAATTCAATGAGGAAATGACAGTTTTCAGCATATGGTTCTGGAACAACTGGGAACCCTAATGGAAAAAATGTGAATTGTGACCCTTACCCCACTCCATAGAAAACAAATATTTTAAAATAGAGCTAGACTTAAATGCAAAAGCTAAAATGTAAAAACTTCTAAATGAAAACATAAGAGAAAATATCTGTGATTTTGCAATTTTTGCCTATATAGGACACAAAAAGTACATGAACCATAAAAAGAAAAAATTAATAAATTGGGCTTTATTTTTTAAAAGTAAATAACTTCTGCCCTTCAGTAGACAGTAATAAAGAAACAAAAAGGCAAGCCACAGACTGAAAAAAAATATTCACAATACTTATATCTGACAATGGACTTGCATTCAGAATACATAGAGAACTCTTACATTCCAATATTAAGACAACCCATGTTTGTTTGTTTTTGTTTTTGAGACAGGGTCTCACTTTCTGTTCCAGGCTGGAGTGCAGTGGCACAAACATGGCACTCAAGCAATCCTCCCTCCTTAGCCTCCTGAGTAGCCAGGACTACAGGTGCATACCACCACATCTGGCCGTTTTTTCAATTTTTTGTAGAGGTGGAGTTTTGCCATGTTGCCCAGGCTGTTCTCGGATTCCTGGGCTCAAGCAATCCTCCTGCCTTGGCCTCCCAAAGTGCTGGTATTATAGGCATAAGATACCACAACCTGCAAATATTTTTAAGTCAAAATATTTTAACACACTTCACAAAAGATAAAATATGAAAGGCCAAAAAGCCCAAATGATTCTCACTATCATTAGTCATCAGAAAAATACAAAAACTAAAATCATAAAAATGGCTAAAATTAAAGATTCACTATACCAAGTGTTGACAAGATTGTAGTTTTATGCATTGCCAGTGGAAATATAAAATGACACAATCACTTTGGAAGACAGTCTGGCAATTTCTTATAAAGTTAACTGACAATTAACATACAATTTAGCCATTTTACCACCCAAGAGAAAATATTTGGTGGTTCTTGTCTATTTAAATCTTAAATTACATTTAAATCTTAAATTGATCATAATGGTTTACTGCAGAACATTTTCATGGCACAAATGATAATCCTTGGTCCTTTGTTCTTCTGATCTTCTCTTTCACATGTGTGCAGTTAGATTTTTCTGTGATCAATCAGATTCCATTTGATTTATATTTTTTATAAATGTTTCCACTATCCCAGTTTGCTCATTGCTCCCTTCTCAAAATCCAGTGCTATAATGGATTTATTTATTTATTTATTTATATTGAGATGGAGTTTCACTCTGCCACCTAGGTGGGAATGCATTGGCGTGATCTCAGCTCACGGCAACCTTTGTCTCCCAGATTCAAGCAATTCTTCCACCTCAGCCTCTGGAGTAGCTGGGATTACAGGCATCTGCATCATACCTGGCTAATTTTTATATTTTTGTAGAGATTGGGTTTCACAAGGATTTATTTTTTTAAAATAAGTTTTGTTTCATTTCAGAAGAGGGCAAGGAAAAGAAGTAAAATATAACTTATTTTTTCAATGTATGAAAGAATTATTTAGCCCCTCCTGTATATAAGTAATGGCTGTTGGAACTAATAGACAGATGTCTTTGAGGGTGCCTCCTGGCTAGACATTGAACAAGACCTCATATAGTCTCATTGTTCAGATGAAGTTCTAATAACTCAGTGTCTGAGTCTTAGCTTTGCAGGTTTAACTTCTCTCATCTTGTCAGTATGCTCGTATAAAAATCCTGAAGCTAATGTATTCACTTAGAGCCCACCTCTTCACTGATTTCACTCATAAAAACAATTAATTTTATGAAATTTGTAAATAAGGCCAGTGTCAGGGCTCATGCGTATAATCCCAGCACTTCGGGAGGCCAAGACAGGAGGATTGCTCAAGGCCAGGGTTCAAGATCAACCTGAGCAACATAGTGGAACCCCTGCCCAGCCCACCATTAAATTAAAAAATCAAAGAGAAAAAAATATAAACAGAACTCTAATTATAAAAACTAAAACACATTTTTCATTTAATTTTGCATACATGTTTAAAGTACTAAAATGAAAAATGAATTAAAAAAAATTTAGAGTCACCAAATTACAGACTATCCAAAATGTTGCTTGAATAAAATAAATGTTACAAATATAGAATATTCTGGTTGGCCTAGCCAGTGACTTCTTTCTCTCATTAGGCAGGTGATCATGGGAAGCAATATTATAATCACAGAACTGTTCAGTAAGCCTCTAATCAGAATAAGAAGAGTCAGTTGAATGATGTTAATGGTTAGTTCTTTATGGAGTTAGAGAGTCATCCACTAATTAGTATGGTGGTCACTTTATCTTTAGTAAAGGGTTGTACTTGTTAAGAGGACCATAGCTTTCCCACCAGTTAAAGCTCTGCTAGCCATAGAGAGTACAGCATGAATACTGAAAATAAGTTGTCCACCTGACCCCCATTTTTTTGCTGTTATCTTATAGCTACAATCTGCTATACAATTCCCGTAGCTTTACCTAACAAAAGTGACAGAACCAACACTGGAATCTCAGGCTCAGAAAGGCCACTCTACTCCTTAACCCCACCTTATCCAGTGTTCCATCTCATTTTGGCTTTGTGGGCATCTTGAGGGCTTCTAGGGTTGGTTTACCCACAGACAGTAAACAGATGGTGCTGAGTAAAATCTTATAGCATGGACATGCATCACTCCTGTTGGGCAGGCAGTAGAAAAGTGGAGTTCTAGATGCAGACAGTAAAGTCCTCTTGGGCTCAGGTAACCAGAGGGTCTCAGTAGAGTTGAAGCCAGTCAATTCCCCTGCCCTACCTTTTGAGATAATAATGATTCTTCTCTAGCACTACTGACTTGGCCTTCCATAGACTTTATTTGCAGGAAATTAGCTGCATGACATTTATGAACAAGACTTCTTATAAGGAAAAAACATGATTTCCCATACATATATATATGTATAGAGATGTATAGAGATGTATATACGTGTGTGTGTGTGTGTGTGTGTGTATGTAGAGAGAGGGAGAGGGGGGGATTTAGAGGATTGAAATAAACATGAACTTAAATCTGGAATATTTAAGACATGGTATTGAATAAACACAGAAGGGCTCCCTTTGCAATTTCCATTGGAGAATTTGTGCTCTAAGAATGAGCAGAGCAGAATTAATGCTGAGTCCGTCTGTCACCCCTCCATCAAGTCTCCATACCCAGTGAGGTCAGATCTGTCCTTTCTGTTCTCCCAACTTTCCCATAAGAACTAAAAATAACAATATTAGTAAAGCTAACACATCTATAGCACTCACTGTATGCTGTCCACTGTTCTAGGAGCTTTATGCAGAACTGTACCTCTAATAAAGAATGCATGTGTCTTTTGCAGTTGTGAAGATGACCTCTCCGAGGACAGAGAGGAGCTTCTGCATGGGATTTCAGAGCTGGACATCAGCAACTCAGATTGTTTCCCATCCCAGCTGCTAGTGCATGGGGCTTTAGCCTTTCCTCTAGGGTTAGATTCCTACCATGGCTGTGTTATAGCGGCTGCCCGCTATGGCCGGGGCCGGGTGGTTGTAACTGGTCATAAGGTATTATTCACTGTCGGTAAACTGGGCCCCTTTCTGCTTAATGCTGTCCGCTGGCTAGATGGGGGCCGCAGAGGCAAGATCGTGGTGCAGACAGAGCTGAGAACCCTGAGTGGCCTGCTTGCAGTGGGGGGCATAGACACCAGTATCGAGCCCAATCTGACCAGTGATGCGAGTGTCTATTGCTTTGAACCTGCGAGTGAAGTGGGGGTCAAAGAACTGCAGGAGTTTGTAGCAGAGGGTGGCGGGCTGTTTGTTGGAGCCCAAGCCTGGTGGTGGGCCTTCAAGAACCCAGGAGTGTCCCCTTTGGCTCGATTCCCAGGAAACCTCCTCCTCAACACCTTTGGCATTAGCATCACAAGCCAAAGCCTTAATCCAGGGCCCTTTCGTACTCCTAAGGCAGGGATAAGGACCTATCACTTCCGCTCCACTTTGGCCGAGTTCCAGGTTATAATGGGCAGGAAGAGAGGAAATGTGGAAAAGGGCTGGTTGGCAAAGCTGGGACCAGATGGTGCAGCTTTCCTGCAGATTCCTGCAGAAGAGATCCCTGCCTACATGTCTGTGCATCGACTCCTGAGGAAGCTGCTAAGTCGATACCGGCTCCCAGTAGCAACCCGAGAGAACCCTGTTATCAATGACTGCTGCAGGGGTGCTATGCTTTCCCTGGCCACAGGGCTAGCCCACTCTGGAAGTGACCTCTCTCTGTTAGTCCCAGAAATTGACGATATATATAGCAGCCCCTATCTGCGCCCCTTGGAGTCTCCTATCACTGTCGAGGTCAACTGCACCAATCCAGGTAAGGAACAAGGGTTGGGAGCTCAGTATTATGGGAATGGGGCAATGGGAACAGGCTAACTTCAGCAGTCCATTTCAGGGACCCAGTGGTGTCCAGAGAGCAGTCTCCATCCTTTACCATGAACTTTGAAGAAGATAAGGGTTAGGATTTTAAGTACTGTTTGGAAGAGTTGAATCAGGGCAGTGTGGAGGGGGAAGATATGTGCTTATGAAGGGTCTCTCTGTGGTGACGCTGGGTGAAGATGGCATCACGGAGGAGGGATCAAGTCTGTCTGTCCCTCCTGCTTTTGGCAGGTACCAGATATTGCTGGATGAGTACTGGGCTCTACATACCTGGAAGGCAAACTATAGAAGTCTCATTGCCTGAAGATGCTGCCTCCGCTGACCTGAAGGTAAGGTCATGCCCCATCTCACAATGTAACATGGAACCCAAAGGCTCTTCCTAGCACAGTCAGTATCTTATTCAATTCTCACAAAGCCCTATTGGTAATACACGAGCAGGTGATTTCACCCTTGTTTTAAGGATGAGGTAACTGAGGTGCAGAAAAGCTGACTAATTGATTGAAATGCATAGAGCTAATACAACTAAGTGCCCAGGACTCAAACCTAACTAATTTCTGGTTCTTAAGTTTTGTGCTTTTGACTTATGTCCTACAGTAGGGAATAAGAGAGGTATCAAATGGAAGGTAACCTAGCACAGGGTAGGCATTCAATAAATCTGAGTTCACTGTTCATCCTCATATCCGTTCCCATGGTAGCACAAGGTCTTTCTGACTTCAGCTGCCTCCCCAAGATACCCAAGACCATTCCTCAATTGCCCAGTTCACCTTCCCTCTTTCACTTTCACATAGAGATACACCCTACTTGCACAATTAGTTTTCTGTCCTGCTGTATCCCCCTTGAGGATCACTGTGATGGTTAGTTAGCCTCTATTCTGTGCCTGTGCCTATCCTGGAACGTGGTTAGCATAAACCCAGGGAAAAGAATCCTAGGACCCTACCAAGTAACTGCCGAGAAAGGGGAGAAATTGAATCAACCCTCCACTAGCTTAGCCAGATCACATCTCCCACTGGCCCCTCCCTCTGATCAGCAAAATGCAGGGTTCTCTCTGCTCCATTCTGAATGCCAGAATCACCACCATGAGCTAGGCAACCGAGTGTTCTGTTTGTTAGCAACACCAAGGGACTGGGTGTGGGAGTCAGCCCTCCTCAGAATTGGCCTTATAGGTTACACCCGGTACTCCTCATATTAATGTCTAACATCACCCATTGTGGAGGTATTTGAATACCTTGGGAAAATATTTATACATAATTCAGTCCATATCCCTCAAGGAATGCTACAGTTTCATGGGGTTATCACACATGGTTCATCAGTGGTGGGAAGGTTGGGCTCGCTTGGAGTCATGGCTGAATGACCCATCCTGAGTCCCTTGCTGGGCTCTCTTCTTCCACCCACTCGTGCCCCATGATGACTCCATGAGGGGTATCTCTCTGTTCCAGATACAGATTGGCTGCCACACAGATGACCTGACCAGGGCCAGCAAGCTCTTCCGAGGCCCACTCGTGATTAACCGGTGCTGCTTGGACAAACCCACAAAATCGATCACATGCCTCTGGAGTGGACTCCTCTATATAATTGTACCTCAGAACAGCAAACTGGGTTCTGTGTCCATCACCGTGAAGGGGGCTGTGCATGCTCCGTACTACAAGCTGGGTGAGTGGAAGCCCGGGTGCCCCTGAGGGAAGGGGAAGAACTGGGATGAGGACTCCAGAGAGCATGGGAATCCAGGAGGTGACTAGAGCCTGTTTAGTGCAGAAGGAGAGAGACACGGACTATCGGAGGAAGGAGGGTCAGCTTCCTTAGATTCAGCTTTGGGGTCGTACAGATAAAGACAAAACCACATCCTTGGGGACTTCATAGAAGAAAGATAGAGAAAAGGGATATGGCCTCAGTAAACTAATGCAGGAACAGAAAACCAAATACCATGTGTTCTCACTTATAAGTGGGAGCTGAACAATGAAAACACATGGACACAAGGAGGGGAATAACACACACTGGGGCCTGTCAGTGGTGTGGGTGGGGAGGGCAGGCAGTCAGAGGAAGAGCATCAGAATAAATAGCTAATGCATGCAGGGCTTCATACCTAGGCGATGGGTTGATAGGTGCAGCAAATCATCGTTACACACGTTTACCTGTGTAACAAACCTGCATGTCCTGCACATGTATCCCGGAACTTTAAAATTTTTTAAAAAGAGGAGGGATATGGCAGTTCATGATTTTGGTATTCCCTTCTTGGAGTCCAAGTCATATGTTGTGATTTAAGGGATTTGGGAAAGTATTTCAAGCTCCGTGGTCTCTATTCCTAGGGGAGACAACCCTGGAGGAGTGGAAGAGGCGTATCCAGGAGAATCCAGGGCCCTGGGGAGAGCTGGCCACAGACAACATCATTCTGACTGTGCCAACCGCAAATCTTCGTACTCTGGAGAACCCTGAGCCGCTGCTCCGCCTCTGGGACGAGGTGATGCAGGCTGTGGCACGACTGGGAGGAGAGCCCTTCCCTTTGCGTCTGCCACAGAGGATTGTTGCTGATGTACAGATCTCAGTGGGTGGGTACTCCGAGCTCTATGCATGCTGCCTCTGAGTGCCTTCCGGTCCTTCATCAGCCATGCAGTGGGCAACTAGTAGGGAAAACATATTTTTCTAGCAAGACATATAGATGTATCCTTGCTATTTAAATGGGAAGGAAATGTATATAAAATATATCATAAACTGTTTTATATATATATATATAAATGATATATATGATATATATAACTGATATATGATATATATGATATATGTGATATGTGATATATGTTATATGATATATATGATATATATGTGATATATATTGATATATGTGATATATATGATATATATATTGATATACGATATATGATATATATATCATATATATGTGATATATATCATATATCAATATATATATCGATATATGATATATATATCAGTTTAGGTCAGCATGTCAAGGACATCAAGAAATGCCACCTGAGCTTTCACAGGCATCCATTGGGGACTTCAAGCCGGTAAAAATGGCAGAGGGCCTTGACCTAGGTCAGAGTTGTTGGGTTAAAACAGGGACTTTTAAAACTTTAAGAAGACACTGAATGAAGTTATCTTTGCCTGTGGGCCAAGAAACATGAAAAATTAGGGAAATATACAGACGATAAAGAACTGTGGGAATTTCTCATTTTCTTCTCTTACACAGATGTTCACTATAAACTTTTGTCAATCTGGCAAGTCCATATCTGGACAATGAGAGAGGAGCTATCCTTAAAGAGCTTTGAATTTTGAGAAAAGGTTATAGTGACACAGATTTACATGGATAGGGCATCCTCATCAAATTAGAAAATTGAACGGTAACATGAATGGCTCCTTATATATAAGCTGCGTCTCCTTCCATAGCCACACTATTTCGGGTCAGAGTGAAGAGGAAGGAATTCTTACAGCATGAGAAGAGAAGAAACACCTAGCAGGGTTGTGGTTTGGGCTGCTTTTCAGAGCTTTTCTGAGTATTATGGTGTGCTGAAATTTGGCTGGGGTTACTGAGTGTTTTCGAACAGACACAGAATTTTATGAGTTGGATCGGGAGGCCCCTAACTCTCTCTTCCCTCCGTCTGCATTTCCCAGGCTGGATGCATGCAGGGTACCCCATCATGTGCCATCTGGAGTCAGTGCAGGAGCTCATCAATGAGAAGCTCATCAGAACCAAGGGGCTGTGGGGCCCTGTCCACGAGCTGGGCCGCAACCAGCAGCGGCAGGAGTGGGAGTTCCCACCACACACCACCGAGGCCACCTGCAACCTGTGGTGTGTGTATGTGCATGAGACGGTCTTGGGCATTCCTCGAAGCCGTGCCAACATTGCTCTGTGGCCCCCAGTTCGGGAGAAAAGAGTCAGAATCTACCTAAGCAAGGGTCCCAATGTGAAAAACTGGAATGCATGGACCGCACTAGAAACGTATTTACAGGTACTGGGCAAGAATGGCGGGTGAGGGGGGACCCCTACTGTGGGGACCATCAGGGCAATGGTCAGATAATGTTCTAGTGGCCCAGAAGACCTCCCTTGGCACCTGTCTGCCATACTAGGATACAGGAGGCTCTGACAATGTCCAACTGTGACAGAATGCTCAAGTGGATTTAATCGCTTGAGCCTCACCTTCCACCCCATAGAGATAAATGATAGTAAATAGAAAGCACTGAGAAAAGTTAAAAATGGTAGAGACAAATAAGGTACTATACATATACTCACTCACTCTGGCTTTAAAGCCAGGCATACCTGAAACTGAAGCCAAACTCTCCTACTTAATAGCTATCTAAAACCAAACACTCCCTGCCATACACATAATCCATAAAATATGACTTTTTTTTTTCCTTAGATGAATGTGCCATCTTCTCATTATGCCTTGGCAGTGCCTCAGAGTCCCCATTATATGGGCAATCCAAGAGTCCTGAGTGACCAGGACAAGGAGGTGGCCTTGCCTTTGACCAGTTGTTTAATGCCCGGTTCCCTCCCTGCAATGCATGGATCAGTTCCTCAGTTCCTGACATGGAACTGGAGAGTTTCATCAACTTGAACTTCAGAACTCAGTCTCAGGCCAGGCCTGCTGTATTCTGGTTCTTCTACCTGCTGGAGGCTTTTGCATTCATTCCCACTGCTGTGAGAATTATGGGAAACAGTCATGGAGGCTCCACTTTAACCCTGTTATGGTGCTTTGCCCCAGGAACACAAGTTTCTCATTGGTGAAATAAACGTGAAGTTGGTCTGCGGAACTGCTTAAGTGCTTCATAATTCAAGCTGTGTAACTCAACAGCCTTAGGATGGCTGCCTTTTTCAAAAATTACAACTTATTCTTAATTCTAGTTACCCAGACAACCTGCAGCCTTCTACTTTGACCCAACTCACATTTTTCCCCAAGGGCCATTTTAGTAGCCTTGCAAATTGACACAGATCTATGATTAATGAGGATTTCTTTGTGACAGGATGAGGTGGAAGTTTCCCTATTGTTGCGGTTTTGGTTTTCAGCTCTGAGAGATAAGAGGATTTTTCCAGTTCTGCCTATTTTCATTCCTTGTGTAATATCCTGTCTCTGTTTGCATGATCTAGTGGAATATATGGATAATGATACTGGTAGAAAACATATTAAGTATGGCAGTTATTACCATGGCTGTCACTGACCGAGTGTCCACTTGGTGTTGAGCACCATGCTGGTCCCAAGGCCCTTCCTAAGATTAGAAAGTGGGAGAGCAGGGCGTGAGGCCAGGAGGTAAAATGGAGAACAAGTCAGTAATAGATGTGAAGCTGATGGTAAGGGGTTACATACACTAAGTTCACTTATTATAGTGGTTGTTGTTGGACCCTCTTTTATTTCCAAATCTCATCTGTATTTTTCATTCTCTTTCCAGCTACAGGAAGCCTTTGGTTGGGAGCCATTCATCCGTCTCTTCACCGAGTATAGGAACCAGACCAACTTGCCCACAGACAATGTTGACAAAATGAATCTGTGGGTCAAGATGTTCTCCCACCAAGTGCAGAAGAATCTGGCTCCATTCTTTGAGGCCTGGGCCTGGCCTATCCAGAAGGAAGTGGCTACCAGCCTGGCCTATCTGCCTGAATGGAAGGAAAATATTATGAAATTGTACCTCCTCACACAGATGTAAGGAGTGCCCATCGAGGTGGCAGGTAGAGAGGTTTGGGGAGGTAGGCAGAGGTGGGGATTCACTCCTCTACCTCTGCCTCCCAGGGTCTGGCCTTGTCCCTTTAGTTCATTGCCCTATACCTTATTTCCAACTCCTGTCTCAAGGAAGTGGGTTGAGAATGCAGCCAAAAGTGGGATCAGAATTTCTCAGGTGCAGGGTCTTCTGTTTCTGCAACTTGTTCCTCTGCTCTCAGCTGTCAGATTCCCTCCTGCCCCTACACTGGCCCAGTTCTGAGAGCCTGGGCACCTATTTCTATATCAGTCCTGGATTCACCATCATAGGCCATAGCCCAGAGCCAGGTAGTTCTCGTCTTGGCATTCTGAGGACTCTCTTTGGGCTTTTGTTTTTTATCAGTTGTTGCAAAAACTTGACCATAGAATTCAATTGGAACACAAATTTACCATGAGACCCAGACAGCTCCCTGATGGACTCATATACTTTGTGACTTGAGCAGTTTCCAAAGTGCTACACCAGCATTCTGGCATAGTGGGAAGAGCCTAGAACTAGGTAGGGTTAGCTCTTGGGAAAGTCATTTCAACTTGGTACCCTCATTTCCTGTGTGTAAAATGGGGATAAAAATTCCTGGTTCACAGGGTTGTTGTGGAGGTTCAGGCTGATAATTCTGAAGAGGCTTGTGAGGTCTGCAGAACATGTCATCTAAGGGGTTTTTCTATTTTATGCTGGTCCACAGGATAATGAACTTACTACTTTCCATCCTCTCTCCAGAATTTAAAGGTTGGGATAACTCTTTCTACAGGTAGCTTCCCTGTGTCCAAGTCCTGGTTTATTCACCTGCTAGTTGTATAACCTGGCAATTTCCTTAACTTCTCTGTGACTTAATTTTCTCATCTATAAAATAGGATCTATTTCATAGGATTATTGTGAGGATCACATTTTATAATACCTCTAAAAAGTAATAGAAAGAGTCCCTGGCAGGTAGTAGCTGTTGAGAAAATGTCAACTGCCATTATTATTATCTAATTGACTCAATATCCTTTATGAGCTAGACTTTACTTATGATTACAGAGGAAGTTATAGTTAATCCTAGCCCATCTTGCTTTTTATATGGTAACCTCTGAAAGGATTATGCTATGTTGCCTTATGAATCTAAAAGAACTCCTCTAAATTCATGAGTTTTTTTTTTAGATAGCTAAAAAATTTAGTTTTTCTTAAACTTAGATTGATAAAGCTATTTTTGAAAACCCCATGGTGAATTTGGAGCTCTTCCTTGGATTTACTTACCCAATTCTGTCTTTTTTTTTTTTTTTTTTTTTGAGACGGAGTTTCACTCTTGTTACCCAGGCTGGAGTGCAATGGCGCGATCTCGGCTCACCGCAACCTCCGCCTCCTGGGTTCAGGCAATTCTCCTGCCTCAGCCTCCTGAGTAGCTGGAATTACAGGCACGTGCCACCATGCCCAGCTAATTTTTTGCACCTTTAGTAGAGACGGGGTTTCACCATGTTGACCAGGATGGTCTCGATCTCTTGACCTCGTGATCCACCCGCCTCGGCCTCCCAAAGTGCTGGGATTACAGGCTTGAGCCACCGCGCCCGGCTCCAATTCTGTCTTAAAGATCCAATTCCTGGGTTAAATCGAGGGTAGATGTTTTGAAGAAACCAGATCAATTCTATGATGACATTTGTCTTTAACAAACAGTGGGTATCCGGTTTCATAACAGTGTTTATATTTCTGTAACACAGATTCAAGACACAATCCCTGTCAAGAATTACTCACCAGTTTGGCAGACAAAGTCCACACACATAGTGGACTTTACTCTGAAATAATATAATTGGATAGAGTTAACCCAAACTTATTTCCTTTTAATTTTGTTCAGAATCCCCCATTTCTTTATATTTTTAACTAAAGTTGGGTCCCTTGAGTTGATGTTGTATACATCCAGCCACTTTTTCTTTAGTTCACTTTTTCTTTTAGTTATTTTAATATATCATTTTATTTGCTTAATTGGTAATTGGGTATATATGTGGACTGTAAGATTTGACCTATAGAGATTTTTCTTTGGATTTCTTTTTTTTTTTTTTTTTTTTTTTTTTTGAGATGGAGTTTCACTCTTGTTGCCCAGGCTAGAATACAATGGCACAGTCTCGGTTCACTGCAATCTCCGCCTCCCAGGTTCAAGTGATTCTCCTGTCTCAGCCTCCTGAATAGCTGGGATTACAAGCACCCGCCACCACCCCCAGCTATTTTTTGTATTTTTAGTAGAGACGGGGTTTTACCATGTTGGCCAACCTGGTCTTGAACTCCTGACCTCAGGTGATCCACCCATCTCAGCCTCCCAATAGATTTCTTTATCATATTATTTGTCAGACCTAGGAGTATTTCTCCTGATTTCATGAATATCCATTGTCTAGGTGCTTTCAGTATTACACACTGGATATTTGTTCATCATTTAAAATAATCGTTATCAATTATTGGGTGTGTACCAGTTATTATACTGGTTCCTTTCTATAGATTGTTTCATTTAATCTTCACAATAATCTCATGACATGGAAACTATTATCACTCCCATTTTATTTTATGAAAGTGAGAACTGAATTTAATGAAGATAAGGTAAATTATCTAAGGCTATATTGCTAGTAAGTGGTTGATCTGGGATTTGAATTCAGGCATTCTGGTTACAGAATGGACATTCATAACTACGGTGCTTTGAATGATGCAATCAATGGGTAAATAAAGAAGCCAACCAGCAAACCAAAGGATCATTATGTCCCTACTTGCCAGAGCTTTGGCTGCATATACTTACCCATCATTTCCTTTTGTCAGAACAAAAAGTCATTTTATTTAGCCCAAATGACAATTCAAAGAATTTAAGGTAGGCTCCTGAAGCACTTCCCAGTAGATAGTGCTGGACTGAGCCCTTTAGCATCAGCCAGGTCTTTTAGGTTGTGAGTTGTTCAAAATTCAGTTATTCTTTCTAGGGTACCACAAAAGTGTTTGCTGGATTTTGAATGATGAGCTATTTCAGTGAAGTGCCCAACTCCCAAAGATCCCAAACACTGCATATTCTCAGAGAGGAAATTAGATTCTCCATCTTTGAGAAGAATATTTGTATCCATTTTTCCCTTTTTGAATATATTTTTAGCAGCACATCCCGGGGATATATTTAAAATATAAAGTTATCCATGTTACTTCCCTGTCTAAAAGCCTCCAGTGGGATTTCTAATTAAAGATGATGGACTAAACATAAGTTTACCTTCCCTCCCTCGCCAGGCCCCACTGAAGTGGAAGTCAAGAAATGTAAAAAAGGAATTGACACATCTCAGAAAAGAAAACTGATGGGATTTGGTTATCAGTGGAGAAGATCTCAGCACATTTCTGGAAGAGAAAGTGAATGAAGCATTATAAGGAAAGTGAAGAACCTTTCAGATAGACTATAAGCTGATCTGAACATAACCCCACAGAGACTTGAGCACCTGAAAAGTTTGTCTACTGAAGAATTACTCCAATTGTAAAATTGAGCCCTATCCTACCCTCCCCCAACTCTTAGGCACAGAACACAGGCATTCTTCATTATTGATACCAGTTAAAAACTTCTTGTTGTTGTTGCTGTTGTTGTTTGTACAAAGGAATTGAACAAACTGCCTGCAGAGAGGTAAGGGTTAGTGCTCCAGAATAAAATTTCTCTTCTACTAGAAATAAGTGTCCGTACCCCCAGCCAGTCAGTGAATTCTCTACTGACAGTTGAAACCTCCTACTGAAGTGCTGTTGCCTTCAGGTATAGAATAGGTTTCCTGAAGAAACAGACCTAACCATACAACAGCAGAGGAAACCCACACCAGTTGTTATAGAAGTCAACAATTATGTTGATTCTTAAATGGGAATGGTGAGCTGGAAATTCCCAGACATGGGTGGTAGGGAGGGAAGAAGAATACGAGAAATCACCAGGTAGAATTAGGGGCCTTGAAAATATAACAAACTTTGAGGGAAACAAAGACCATGTGGAAAAAAATAATTTTAATTCTATCTTTAGAGAGATTTGAGGTGTATTCATAAGATGAAAACAGGATACTACAAAAAAAAAAAAAAAAAAAAAAAAAAAAAGACCCAGAAACCTCAGGAGTTTAAGACCAGCCTAGGCAAGATGGCAACACCCTGTCACTATGGAATACTTTTAAAAATTAGCCAAGCACGGTGACATGTGCCTGTGGCCCTAACTACTTGGGAGGCTGAGGTGGGAAGATCACTTGAGCCCAGGAGTTCAGGGCTGCAGTGAGCCATGATGGTGCCACTGCACTCCAGCCTGGGGGACAGAGTGAGACCCTGTCTCTTAAAAAGAAAGAAAAGAAAGAGAAAACTGAGAATAAGAAGAGCTATTTGAAAATAAAATAAGACTGCTAAAAGGATTCGGTATACAATCTGGAAAATAAAGTTGAGGAAAATCTCCCCAGATAAAGAGTTAAAAGAAGATAGAAAATATAAAGAAAGAAAAGAGACATAGACAATCAGTATTTAATGTTAGGAGTTCCTGGAAAAGAGGACGTAGACAATATAGGTGAAGAAATAAAAATAATTGAAGAACAGAGCAAGCTAAGTCTCCAGATTGAGAGGGCCCAATACAATCTACATCTAGACAAAATTTGGTAAAATTTTGAAATATTAAGGATAGAAGGAAGATATTAAAGTGGCCAGGGAGAAAGCAAATGAGGTCATCACGCTTAGCTCAACAACAACAAACAAGAAAATGGGTGAGAAATAGACTGCTAACAGATTTGTCATCAGCAAAAGTGAATGCCAGAAGTCAATGGATCAACATCTTCACATAGCTTATAGAAAATTTTTGTACCTAGAATATTATAGTAAGGTAAACTGTCAAGAAGAATATCTAAGTGAAAACATTTTCTGACAGACAAATTTTCAGAAAGTCTACCTCCTTTGCACCCTTACTGAGGAAGTACCTTGAGGAAGTTCTTCAGCAAAATGAGGATGAAAACCAGGAAAGAAGAAATAGGATCCATAAAACAGTGGACCTTACTTACAATGTCTCATTCTAGAGTGATAATTATCCAAAAGGATGTCTTACTCTAGAGTGACAGCTATCCATCAGACTAATTTTAGATGAGAGCACATTGTCTTAGGATTTCTGGGAAGAATGTCCATTCAGTGCCATAGATGGTATCACTGAAGAGCTGGAATGCTTGAGAAGATGATTTCGTCAAGAAAAAAGAAAGACAAATCAACAATATGTCAAAAAATTCAGGTCCAATTGTAGAGCAAAATAAAATGAGACATGATTTTGAGTTATTCATGAAGAATAAGAAGAGGCTTGATAGATACATTTCCTTTTCTATGGCACAGGCATGATAACATTGGGTGTATAGGGAAGAAAATATCCTAGCTTGTACTAGGCTCTCAGTAAGAAGCATTTAAATTGCCAAAATAATGTTGATATCATTTGTTAGTATTTAGTGTTCAGATCAGCCTATTGACAATGTATGAAAGGCTTCATTTTTTATATTCAGAACTGAAGTTGAAAGTAATGCTGACAAAAAGAAAGCAGAAAGAGATTGAGAATTAGAGAAAGAGTGGTGGAATGAAAGGTAGAAATACATATTCAAAGTGGGGATGAAAAGATATTCAGTTAATGGAACAAGAACTAGAGGATTAGTATATTGTTCAAAGCTATAAATCAATAGATGTATTCAAAAGTGACGTAACTAGCAAACATTTGGAGAGAGACGAAAGTGACGATAGTGTAAGTTGAATACTTATCTTTTGTAATGGGGAATTATTAAAGATCATGTAAAGTCAGTAAGTCAAATTATTGTTCAAACATATTATTTAAAGTTAGAAAGGTAGTTACTAGATGATCTAAAATAAATATCATTAAATACATTTCCTCTAGGGAATGGGACTAGATTTCAAAAGGGTGGGATGGGAAACTGTGTTTTTCGTTTTAAGTCCTTCTGTGCTATTTAATTTTTTACCTTGTGCATGTATTAATTCAAAAAATTAATAAACTCAAATAAAAATCTTCCAGTGACTTCACATTGATTAAGATGTAATCCAACTAAAGCCTTTAACATGGTTTTCAAGGTTCTCAAGTATCTGGGTCCACCTGATGGGCCCAAGCTCATGATATCTCCCCACTAGTCTCTATTTCCAACCACATTAAGTATCTTCCAGTTATTAAAACACATCTCACATTCTTTTGTTTGTACAGGTGTTCCACAAAAAACAAAGCCTACTGCTGATCCTACCATGTCTGGTGAGTAAGCTTACCATCTAGTGGGTTTTTAAATATTTTTTGAATGAAGGAATGTCCAGTAGAGCACTGAATGAAGTTTGCCAACTTCATTCTTTTCCAGGAAGGCCTTTGATGTTTGCCCCTGTTCTGGGAAACATTTCAAGAAGGACCATCCAGGGCCCTAAGCTTTTCTGCATTCCTCTTCATTTGACAGCTTTAATAAGTTTTAGTGTTACATGAGGCCAGCTGGCGTCAGAGGATTTCTGCCCACCTGTCAGTCTCCCTGATGTGCTCTTTGCCACTTCCCTTGAACATCGTAACCTGTTTTCAGCTATTTTTAACCCTGTACCTGGGAGAAGCAGTCAACTATCTAATGGAAATCTGTAGTCCACTAAGTTCCTTTTTTAAGTTTTATTTTACTTTTAATAGACTCATAATAATTGCACATATTTATAGGGTATAGTGTAATGTTTTGATACATGTATACATTGTATAATGATCAAATCAGGATATTTCGCTTATTTTTCACCTCAAACATTTATCATTTCTTTGTGATAGGAACATTAAAAATCCTCCCATTTAACTGTTTTGGAATATAGAATATTGTTACTATAGTCACCCTACCGTGCAATAGAACACCAGAACTTACTCCTGCTATCTAACTGAACCTTTGTATCTGTTGACCGTTCTGTCCTCATCTCCCCTGGCCCACTACTGTCCCAAGCCTCTGGCAACCACTATTCTACTCTCTACTTGTATGAAATCAACTTTTTAAATTATACAGTCCACGTTTATGTGAGATTGTATGGTATTTGTCTTTCTGTGCCTGGCTTATTTTATTTAACGTAATGTCCTCTGGGCCCAATGACAAAATTTCTTTTTATGGTTGAATAGTATTCCATTGTGCATAAATGTCATATTTTCTTTAGTCATTCTTCCACTGATGGAACTTAGGTTGATTCCATGCAGGTATTGTAAATAATACTGCAATAAACATGGAAATGCAGATATCTCCTCCACATAACTGATTTTATTTCCTTTGGATATATACTCAGTGGTGGGATTCTGGATCATATGATACTTCTATTTTTTATTTTTTTAAGAACCTTCATTCCGTTTTCCATAATTGCTGGACTAATTTACAACATATCAAATTTCCTGTTTCTTCACATCTACACCAGTGTTTGCTATTTTTTGTCTTCTTGTTAATAGCCATTCTAACTAGACTGAGGCAGTATGTCATTATGGTTTTAATTTGCATTTCCCTGATGATTAGTGATGCCAAACATTGCTATGTCTTCTTTAGAGAAAGGTCTATTCAGGCATTTTGCCCATTTTTAAAAGGCATTATTTTTCTGCTATTGAGTTGTTTGAGTTTTCTGTATAGTCTGGGCATTAATCCCTTGTCAGATGCATAGTTTGCATATATTTTCTCCCATTCCTTAAGTTATCTTCAATCTGTTTGCTTCCTTTCCTGTACAGGAGCATTTTAATTTAATATAGTAATATTTCTCTATATTTGCTTTTGTGGTCTGCTTTTAAAGTCTTACTCAAAAAATTCTTGCCCAGACCAGTGTCATCAAGTGTTTTTCCCATGTTTTCTTCTAGTATGCTTATGGTTTCAGGTCTTATATTAAAGGCTTTAATCAATTTTGAACTGATTTTTATATACGGTGAGAGATGGGGTCAAATTTTATTCTTCTACACGTGGATATTCAGTTTTTCCAGTGCCCTTGATTGAAGATTCTGTCCTTTTCCTAATGCATGTTGTTGACACTTTTGTTAAAAATCAGTTGGCTGTAAGTACATGGATTTATTTCTGTTCTGTATTCTGTTTCAGTTATTGATGTGTCCATTTTTATACCAGTACCATGTTGACTTGGTTACTATAGCTTTGTAGTATATTTTAAAGTCAGGTAGTGTGGTGTATCAAGCTTTATTTTTGCTCAAGATTGCTTTGACTATTTGAGGTCTTTTGTGGTTCCTTAGAAGTTTTAGGATTTGTTTTCTATTTCTGTGAAGAATAGGGATTGAATTAGGAAATTGCTTTGGATAATATGGACATTTTGACAATATTAAATTTTGCAATTTATTGTCTTTCCATTTATTTGTGTCCTTTTCAATTTATTTCATCTGTGTTTTATAGTTTCCACTCTAGAGATCTTTCACCTCCTTGGTTAACTATATTCTCGGGCATTTATGTATAGCTATTGTCAATGGATTGTTTTCTTAATAGCTTTTTTAGATAGCTTGCTATTAGCATATAGAAACACTACTGATTTTTGCATGTTGTTTTTGGGTCCTGCAACTTTATTCAATTTATTTATTCTAACAGTTTTTTGTGGAATCTTTAGCATTTTCTACATATAAGATCATGTCATCTGCAAACAAGGACAATTTTACTTCCCCCTTTCCTATTTGGATGCCTTTCATTTCTCTTGCCTAATTGCTCTGGGTAGGATTTCCAGTACTATATTGAACAAAAGTGGTAAAAGTGGCATCCTTGTCTTGTTACAGATCATAAAGGAATACCTTTCAACTTTTTCTTTTTCAGTATGATGTTATCTATGAGTTTGTGGCCTTATTATGTTGAGGTATGTTACTTCTATATCTAATTTGTTGAGAATTTTTATCATGAAGGCATGTTAAATTTTATTAAATTTTTTTTGTCTGTTGAAATGATTATGTCATTTTTGTCCTTCATTCTGTTAAGGTGATGTATCACATTTATTGATTTACATATGTTGAACCATCCTTACATGCCTGAGATGAATCCCACTTGATTGTGGTGAATTATCTTTTCAATATGCTGTTGAATTTGTTTCACTCTCATTTCATTAAATATTTTTGCATCTAT